AAATTAACTGAAGGAATAAATCGGACGTTTCCATAAGAAGCAATGATTATTTAAATTTACGTCAACACATAGAATAACCGAAACACTTGTAGTCAAAGACAAGTATTCCTTGTCTTTGTGTATTCTCCGATACATTTCAACAACCATTCAAGTCAAGCTCACGAGTAAACCATCAGACTAATTACAATGATTTAAATCCCTGCCAGACTGGGAATTATATCTTATAATACTCCTTAATATGTATCTCTGAACTTAGCTTCCTTCAAAGCTACTAGAGAAAAATATATACTCAGAAATAGCCCCACAATTAAATGTAAAAAAATATAGAAATCCAGAGGCAAATTTGTTTCGAAAATTCCCGTGTAGGCCCAAGGTAGCTAGAAGTATTTCGTGTTTTATGGTGACGAAGTTTGGTTGTTGCTCCCGAGACGCCTTCTAGAGTCCCACTCAGAAGTTTGGGAGCAGTAAACCTTTGTCCAAGTGATAGGATTAGTGGGAACACCTTGAGAATGACGCAGCTCTTGCACAGTGATAGCAGATGCTTTGTTTACATTTGGTTTTAAATACGGCGCAGTGTTTTATTGCATTAGTGCTTAATACGGAGAGTGACGCAGTGCCGTATAGCGATAGTGATTAATACGGAGAGTGTCGCAGTGTTTAATTGCGATAGTGATTGATACGGAGAATGGCACAGCACAGTATATATAGCGGTAGTGATTAACACGGAGAGTGGCACAGCATATATAGCGATAGTGATTGATACGGAGAATGGCGCAGGATAAATAGCGATGGTGATTAATAGAGGGCGCAGTATTATATTGCGATAGTGGTTAATACGGAGTATGACTCAACATGTTAACAGCATTTTTTTTATACGAAAATTATTCATTGAGTTTACAGCAAACTTAGTTGATACAAAGAATGGCGCTTTAATTGTAATCTGAACTTGGTTGATTACTGAGAATTGCCACAAATAATGTCGATCGGCATACCAAATACACAATTAATGCTAATACATCGCGACCATGGACTTTGTAAATAGGCAACGAATGTCGGCATAATACGACGATTGACGTTGTAATGTCGCAACAAATGTCGATATAACGCGTAGATTTGCGTTGTAAATACCCAACGCAACGTATTGGGTATAAGAAAAAGAAAAATCATATAGTACGTTTCCAGCTCACGTGATCCTGGCCGTAGAAGTTATTTTCCATCCTACGATGCATAAAACCTTCGCGTGCTCTATTCGTGGAAGTTTATAGCTACGAAGTTCTTACTAAGAAATAAAATAAGACACTATAAGAAAAGAGATGAAATTTGCGAAAGTACCTGTAGAATGGCGGCACTCGTACAGGCACGGACATTACAGCAGCGTATGTGGCTGGCTGTCGCATCCATAAAAAATATAGGCTGATCGTTAAATTTTCTACATAGGAAACATATTTATGAATTCTCTGGTGCACTACCCCAGATTTTTTTATTTACTGTGGGCTTGTGGCCTGGTATTGTGTGCGCCATCTGGACAAGTCCAGTGGGCAAACTTATTCCCCTTTTTATGTCCCTATAGAAAACTGGACAGAAAGAAGAATGGACGGAAAAAAACATGAACTGCAGACCAGAGATTGCGACAGAGCTCGGGATTTGGCTCCAGGTTCTTGGAGCACTCGTAGGAATGTGAGGCATAGACACAAATAACGACACACTTTTTCGTCTTCTTGACCCAGTTTGGCCCGGAGAAAGGCGTATCAACGCTACGTGAAGGAAATGTGTCACTATTCGGACAATGTGACCCAAGCCTTTTTCTGAGTGAAAGGCTCCATCTTACTCGGTAAATAAAGAGGTTCTCAGGACCCTAAAGATAACGGCAGCGCGCACGAGTTATGCGCTTGCTGGCTAAAGGATGAACGTTGGCTCACGGCTGGAATTACCTTGACTGGTCTATTTATTGGATTAGACAATAGTATGATAGTATGAGGTATGTGCTATTTTAGGATATGTTGGTCGCAGATAAGATAGTGATTGTAAGTGGCGAGTTTATGGTTTTGGTTTATGGCGTGCAGTTCTGCTAGCAACCAAAAAAAGTTATTAAATTTATCAGAAGACCTTTTTTTACACCTAAAAGAACGTATCAGTGCAATGTCGCTCATCAGTTCAAGTGTATCACTGTTTGAATATTGGCACACTGTTTGAAATATATTCATTTTTCTGACTGATGGCACATGTCATACCATTTTTGACTGAATTGTTTTGTTGAGGAGTAATAATAAAACAATTAATTTTTTTATCTAAGTAAACTCATGTATTTCCATAAAACAGAATTTCGAAACCATTGTATTAATTAATACGCAAAAAATGAACGACCGTTTTGTGTTGAACCGAAAAATTCCATGAACATTTAAAATTTGTAGTTCGTTATGTACATTAACTGAAAAAAAAAATTTTTAGAGAGTCAGTAAGATGTTGGATGAGATTTCACTAATGATCGTCTTAGTTCAATTGGAAAATAATTTGAAAATTGGGGTCATCTCAAATGATTTCGTTTAGAATTTCCATACGGCTCCGTCTTTTGAAAAAGACGACTAATTGGTGCTGGATTACATATTTTGTTATTTACCTAAATTCTTCACTAAACCGATACAACTTCGACCATAAAACTTCGATCATATTATAGAGTAATATCCATCATGTTCCATATTTTTTTATAGTTTTTCATTCTCCAAACCCACAGGTTGAATTTGTTTAGATTTATTTCCACGTGTTAGTTGGTAAAAAATTGAATGAATCATTTTTATGTTATCATTCGTTATCTGGGTTTGGCGGCTGCCTCAAACATGATAAATTATTTATCTATGACTTACAAATTTTGTTTATTATATTTTGTAAATCTAATTTTTTATTGCATATCTACATTACTCACAAGGTCAATTTTCAATACGATGTTTTGGAATTTTCACGGGCTAATTATATCTGGCGTAGAAAATATATCTTCTGCAAGGAGGCTAGTGTTAAACGTAAAAAAATAAGTGTTAAAAATAAATCCTTACGAAAACCACCGCCGTCCTCTGGAAAATAAACTTTGAAGTTTCCCAGAATCCATAACAAATTTTCTTGGACCATCCCTCGCCCAACAATAATATTCTGTTCTTGGAAAATTTGCGACTTTGAGTGCAATCATAATATATTATATTTTATACAGCAAAATATTTCTACCTACTAATAATCAGCGGATGACACGAATGGTGGATAACTCCTTCATTATGAACATTGTGTTATTCAACGATGCCGTTTACGGTGACGTCAAGATCTACAGAAGCAGTACGTTATTTTCGGTCAAGTTAAAGACATCCGTATAAAGACGCTCTCGAAATCATCGATACGGCACCAACATGTTTCTACTTTGAAACGTTCTCAATTTGTAGTTAAGTTCATTAACTATATTTGTTGCAGTTAGATTTATATTTTTAAGATGTGTCTTTTGTCCCTAATTTCAACAAATATATGATCATTTCACAAATATTTCCCCGAATTACCTCTTTACGTAATGAAACGTACTCTAATTGTATGCACATTTTAGTATCACATCTTTTCACATAGAATTTTATTATTAGAATTGTATAACGAAATGAGAAAGCGACCAAATGTTATGATCATATCACAATAACCTCGCATCAACGGTTCCTAAAATGTAAACATGCTGTGATGAACAAGTCGGGAAAAATGAGTGCCTTATATACAGTCATTTTTAGCGCATTTTCTCATTTATGGAAAAAATGCACTATTTTGCTCGCCATGTCCGTCCGTCCATCCGTCCGTCTGTCCGTTCGTGACTTCAAGTTTTCGTCGACGAGAAAATGCGCTCTCTGTCACTCACTGCAGTGAGTACTGAGTTATATTTTTTGTAATTTTTCGATCTGAAAAATCAGATTCCTCTCGGCACAATTAAGCGCCTTCAAGTCCGCAGGACCAAATCCATAAAGTCAAACAGACATGAGTGTCGTGCTCTATATTTTGATTACATTGATTTTTACTTTTGACTTATCATGAATTGTATTTTTCTATTTTCTTATTATACCTATAATATTTAGCCGCGGTCATGCGAATGGTTTTCGCTTCCTTTTGAACTCCTCTTACGTAGTTCAAAATAACTGCATCTCCCATTTTTTTAACTGGGGACTTGACATTAAGCGTGGACCTTTTAACTTGGACTTGATGTTTGAATGACGCAGATTTAATACAAATTTTATTCATGTAACGAGTAGAAAGGCTCCTAATCAACCATTATTCATATCTTTAACAACGAAAACACTCATTTATTACATTTAATATATTTAGCATTACATAAGCATGCAGTAATGCTGTAGCTGGCGAACAAATTCTTCAGACGAATCCAGCTTCAGATTCGAAACCTTCGCGCGTAGATGGAAATGTTTTTGAAGTGCTCAGGCACCTGAGATGCACCAAAGGCAAAATACTCATCAGTATGCCAGGCATCACAACATCACAGACACTCATCAGTATGCTAGGCATCACGGCAATTGGCTCAGCAGTCTTTGCAGAAGGTTCTTAACATGCAGCCGCGCACCAGAGCGCCTTGAGATGAAGTGCCTAGAGCAAGCCTCCAGTATGAACTCACTTTACGATATTTTATCCAAATCTCTGTAATAGGTTATGGCTTAGTCCGCGTCTTATTTTATTCATGGTTAGTTTAATTCTTAGTGTAATAATCTCGAGGTAATCTCGGTTTGATCGAGAGCGTTAGAGAATACATGCCTTCATTGTCAAACCAAATGCTATGTATTATAGGAATTTGCCTGTGAATTCGTGAAAGGAATTCTTGCAAGTATTGATACAATTTTCATAGATGACTTGTTGATCACGATAATCTTGATATCAGCTTATGACAACCATATGTGTGAATTTCTTTCAATTTTTCATTCAAGTGTTTCATTATTATTATTATAAGTAAATTAATGTGTTTTCTTTCTCTCTCTTTCCAGAACTGATGCAGTCGTCTCGCTGAGAGATTAGACTGCAGTCGTTCACAGAGATGTTGCTTAAATCTGCCTGTACATCCTATAGTCCAAGATAGATCAAAATATCCACGTAGTTTCGGAAAAAATTCAGACTACATACATACAGAACCTACTTTGAATCTTGTATCTTCATCTTATTAATTTCTACAAAACTTAAGCTCAAATTTCACTCTCACAAAAAATATTACTTTTTTCGCGCTGAGAAAAATGTTCTGAGTAACATTGATGATTGTAGCTTTCTCGCATAAAATCCGGACTAATAAAATCAGGTAAGGCTTCCAGCAATGAATATAAAGTATAAGGTGAACATCAATCGTCTGAGAAAGCTCTTCGGATTCTCGGAAAATGTCAGATCCACAGCGCTTCTGCAGCTTGAGTGGCTACCTCCAACTCGGAGAAAAAAACACAAGATGAAGCCACTCCAGAATAAGTCAGAACCGCTCATGATGGATCATCTGAGGAAGGGAGGGAAGCTTTTAACGCAAAGAATGTTTGTCATCACTTTTTTAATATTAACTACAAATTCTCTAGCGTACGGCTTCGAAAGCTCGTTCAACAGCATGGGTTTAGGTCACGAAGACACATTCGAACCAAGTTTCCAAACGAGCTTTTTAGGGGAAGTTGATAACGTATACTTGAAAGAGATAGATAAAACTTACGAATCAAACTTAGACAGCTTAGACTCCAACGCCTTCGAAAACGACTTGCCCGACAAAAGTGACTACCCGTTGCAAAAATACCAAGCAAATATGGCATCGCACTCTGGAGATGATTTCACTGCACATCACAATAAACATAACCACAAAGCTCACTGGCAACACAAGAAGAAAATGACGAAGCTGCAGCAGAACAGGGATTCTCTTTATGAATTCTCCAAGACTGAAGATGAGGTCTTAACCGATGACGTAGGAGTGACAGCAGAAGACATCAAGACTCCAGTCAACGGCCTCGAGAACAGTGAGTATCACTTGTCACAATACGCGCGCCAGAGACGTAATTCCAATACTAATTGCGAGATCCCAAAACCAGGTTCCTATTTGCACTTCTGTTTCTGATTCAGTTTGCCGATCGTGAACGGAAGACCATGTGATGCTATAATAACTATCGTTGAACTTCAGATGATTAGCGATAATAGTTACTGTTGTACGTAAAATAATCAAAAATAATAATAATAATAATTATATAATAATAAATTATAATTTTAATTATAAAAAAAACTAAGATCACAGGGATTTTTTCAAAGATTTTGCGCTATATTTAAACAAGGATCGAAGAATAAGTTCTACATTCCTATTTCTGATCATTGATTACTTTGACTTATTAAAAGTTATTAATTTTTTTGATTCCATGTTTTACGATATCGCAGTTGTAATTGGAATTACCGTCTCTGACAGAGCTGTCAGCAACGCAGCTTTAAAAGCTGTATTCGAGAATGCTTTGAATAATTGTTGAGCTTTATGCAATGATTAATGGATAATAATGATTAAAAATTTTAATTTTAGATATTGTTAGGATGGTCATGAATTGCCCACAACAAATTAGTCTTCATCATTTAAACCAGTCATTTTATAACGCTCCTACTTGCTGACGGATAAAACGCTCGCGAGTTGTCATAAAAAGGATATGTTTGAGTGGTAAGTGGCACTCTATCATGTATTAATTTTATATTGTATCACTTAATTTAATTACTTTTATGTGCGGCGGTCCACAGTCCTTAATTTTGAATATTCGTTCATTTCAAGAACATTCGAAAACGGTATTATTTTGAAAACAGGAGTTTAATTTTTCACGTGCCTGTACCGCAACATTCGTACCTAAAACAAACTTTAATTTAGACATCAAAGTATATCCTAAATTTGTTTAGAAATTAATTCGTTCTGAACGTTACTGCGCTTAGGAATAGCCTAAATTTAATTGGTATTGAAGCTCGAGGCTTTAATCTAAGTCTGTGTGATCCCACAGAAAGCTGGCTCAAAAAAATGACGGTTATAGAAATATAGTTTGCAATAGATATTTTTTCAAAATATTTTGACCTGAAATGTCCTTGCGGTCGTCACCATAGTCGCAAATGCGTACGCATTTCTAGTTGACTTCAATGCCGGCATAATTTGAATAGAACATTTTTTTACATTTACAAGGCTAGGAATATTGCTGTCATTAATCTGTTAATAAAATAATTCCTCAACCAAATTGCGTGAGGCCAACCCAATCAAAAGTCAGATACGATCGACCATCGGCCGCTGATTGGCCGTTGATAATCCGGCGCTGAATTTCAATGGTGTTCCACTCCCAACATGAACACGTCCTAAATATTCCTGGATTTTTTCATACTCCAAGAATTCAGAATTTAATCTTCATGCCTCCTACTCCGAGGCTTGCCAGCAGGAAGCGCTTACATTCTGACACAAATTTTCTTTTTAGACGAGTAATACGCGGCCAACGAATGGCCGATGCTCGGCCGATGATAACGCTTATCTTATTTTTTTCTAACAGAGAATGACAATCTTGTAAAAATATGAACTCATTGGGGGCACCGAGGCTGTGCCACTTTTGCTGGAGCTGAGATTGCCGATGAGGAAAACTCGTAAATTGCTTGGCGCTCCTCATATTTTTGTGATTATTCGGCGCGCCGGAGACAACAGCGAGGCGGATTTTTGTTCCCTTCTTAGAACGTCACTTCATGAGTGAGTGATTTATACCTAGGAAATAATTAGTTAAGAATCGTGCACTGACCTTCAATTTAATGCATCAACACTTTTTTAATCGTTAATTTTCTGCTAAAATATTCAATTTGAATCCGTCAGAAATCTGAGTTTTACTGATTTTGGAAATGCAGGATAAAATTTACTGAACTACATAGAAAGGACTGTTGTAAATTCTTGTCAAACCACTCGAGATTGGCTCAGATTTACCCTTAATTTTCCTGCACCTTAATAATTTTCAGCGTATAACGTATGGCAGGCCAATCCATGTTACGACGAACACTGAGTTGGCTTTATCTTTTGGCTAGCCGTCTACTGGCCACCGATAATCACTGTATAATTTTTATGCATTAAATAATTGATCTGTTTCGTGGGCTCAGAAGTTTTCCGTAGATAATTGAAAATAATGGATGGATAACAGACTTTTTTCCGGTGGCCATTTTCAAACCTACTTGTAATTGACTTATGAATCTTTAAAGCGATAATTCACGTATAAATTTTCAAAACTATAAATCAGTTATTAATTTAGACGAGGAAAGAATCTTTTGAATCGACTAACAATTTATGATCATGGCTTATTGCCAAGTTGCTGTCAAGGAATTTATTATCTGCCCAAATGTTTTGAAAAACCATGATAATTAAATTACCCGTTCAGAATTGATGTTTCTTTACATTTTTATGAGTTTCTCCTTGAAATTTAAGAAAAATTTTGCAGCTTATCCCGAAAGCATTTTTCCCTTTATGTCAATAAATTCCCTCGACGTGCGTTTTACGGAGCCATTAGCTAATTAATGACCAGCTGATGTACACAGGCAACTAATAATCTATTATTAATTTTCAATCGAATTCTTATTTACGAATTCGATCGAAATTGCTACTAAAATTGCAAACGCAACTCCAAGGAAATTATAGAAACGAGAAGACAGATTCATTTCAGACTTTTTCAAGGCTTTTCATTAATCAGGAGAACTTGTCCTGCTCCAAGTCCCCTCATTGTCGTGTTCAAGTTGAGACTCAAAAGTTCGAGTCCCATACGTATAGTTTCTCGAAGAATCGTTGCTGAAGTTGGCCCGAGTGGCGACTTTTTGAGAATCAAAGCGAACTACACGAGCTTCATTACTGCCGAGTTTTTTGTGTGCATATCTCGACATGGATGACTAGACGATTGTTGGGAGCTCGGCATGGATGATTAGACGATTGCTGGAAGCTTGACATGGATGATTAGACGATTGTTGGGAGCTTGACATGGTTGATTAGACGATTGTTGGAAGCATTTGGGAGCACGACATGGATGATTAGACGATTGTTGGGAGCATGACATGGATGATTAGACGATTGTTGGGAGCACGACATGGATGATTAGACGACTGTTGGGAGCATGGCATGGATGATTAGGCGATTGTTGGGAGCACGACATGGATGATTAGACGATTGTTGGGAGCTGGACATGGATGATTAGGCGATTGTAAGAAACTTGGCTCAGATTATTAGATAAATGTTAGTAATCCCACGCGGTTTTCGTTATGGTCAACATTCGTCGTCGACGATTCAATTCGTCGACTATTTCATATTCACAGCCTAGAATAGTGGTGGGGCTGTCTGAATATAATTCTCTTTTCATCTAAAAAAATTTCGACATAAAAGAAGAGAACCCACCCACGATTGGTTCGTTGTCAAACTTTCCTTTATTCTTTTCTTCACTCCCTTAATATTCAACGTCATCTACTTCCTAAAATGTAATATTACATAGGACGTTGGACTCACATATTAGCACGTACTATTTTATACTGATTTCGTCTGCATATGAGTTCTTATGTGTATATTATGACTTGGTATTTGGAGTAACTGAAGCTGGCACGGTAAATTCTCTCTTTTAAGTCAGCTAAGAAGTGGTGCGGGACGTAGCAATTTAATACTCATTCTATCATTTATGTCACCCAGACACTATTTTATAATCATATTATTATTTAATTCGCATTATTACATTTCAAAAGCACATATTACATATTACATTTTCAAAAGCTAGAAGAGTTGGGAAGAACGACCGGATTTTAAGCGAAGTTTTTATCAACAGCTATCAAGTGTGCTTCAAACAAAAAGATTATTATCAACTGTTGGAACTCAGTCCTGTTGGAGCTCTGCGGGACTTGGGTTATCCTATTTATTCATTTCACAGTGTAGCAATTCACTTGGAAAATATTTAGGTAAAACGTTCAGTAAGTTATTTGTTAAAAAAAATTCATGTCTCTCTTCATCAAACGCAAGTCTCAGAGTAAAAATTTCCGCCAAAAGGTTATTACCCCAGGCGCATTATCCGCCACGCTGGTGAAATTTATCTTGTTCTCAATTTAGTGCTGTTTAATTAAATTTCAATATGAATTTTCAAATTTTTAAACGTAGTACAAGGATAATGGTTGAACCTTCTTTTTCCTACATCAGAATAATAAGTTACGAAATGGCTTAGCACGATGAAATTCCCAGATCTGTATGCGTGAAATGCCAATATAAATACAACATAGTTTGAAATAGATACCACACTAACCTATATAATGGTTTATTTGAGAAGCTAAGAGAGTGAAAACTGCGAGGGGGCAAACAATAAAATATTTATAACAAACAAAAAAAAGTATCCTAACAAGCCAAAAATAATCCTAACAATTAATAAAAGCATCCTAACAAACATAAGAGAATCCTTACAAACAATAAGATAATCCTAACAAGCAATTAATAAATAATCCTTACAAATATAAAAGAATCCTAACAAACAATAAAAGGATCCCAACAAAAAATGAAAGAATCCCAACAAACAAACATTAACCGAATCCCAACAAACAATTAAAGAATCCTAACAAACAATAAAATAATTCTAACAAACAATAAAATAATCCTAACAAACAATAAAAGAATCAAAACAAACAAGAAAATATTCCTAACAAACAATATAAGAATCCTAACTAACAAGAAAATAATAATAACAAACAATGAAAGAATCCTAACAAACAAGAAAATAATAATAACAAACAATGAAAGAATCCTAACAAACAAGAAAAGATTCCTAACAAGCAATATAAGAATCCTAACAAACAAGAAAAGAATAATAACAAACAATGAAAGAATCCTAACAAACAAGAAAATAATAATAACAAACAATGAACTAACAAACAAGAAAAGATTCCTAACAAGCAATATAAGAATCCTAACAAACAAGAAAAGAATAATAACAAACAATGAAAGAATCCTAACAAACAATGAAAG